TCTACATTCACAGTTAACTGAAATACTTTCATTTACTATTCAGAAATGAATTTGAATATGTATCATGACCGTTAACTTTTTTTACTATCTTTAAGAACCTAAGGCCACTAGTGCTTTTAGGTCTTTTATCGTGCAGTGAATACAAAATTTAAAAAAATTCTCAAAAATTCATTTTCATCTGTATGTAAAATTATTTCATATTTTTCTACACCTGATTCATCCCTCAGTTTGGGAAAGTATGTTCAGTTGATACTGTATTTTTTGTCCAATCATAATGTTCAGATACATTGACTTAAGTAGGGTGAACAAAAGAGCAACCTAAATTCTGGAATGCAAATACTACCGCGCTACCTTAACCAAGACATTTCAATCTTGAAATCAGTCATGACACCTATGATGCATAGCCTTCTTACTATGTAACATATTACAATAAAGAATACTAGTCTGAACTTATTTCTTACCCAAAAAAAATTGAAGGATTACACCCCTACCCCAGCTGGCAGATTTTCGTTTTTTTATCATCTTACCATTTTTACTTAAGGAGTGAACACAATCCAAATATATGATGTTTCAAATCAACACAGAAGTCAAACATGGTGATTCTGGAGGAATTATTGGATTGCCAACTCTATTTATAGTTAATCTGACTGAAAGAAACAGTTTAAGCACCAAATCATGAAAAATGATATTAAAGTCCTTTCCACATTTTACAGCATGCCTTACATTACTTTAAGCATTTCCAGATTATGAAGGCAACACAACAAGATTCTTAAGATGGCAGTTAACTATCGTTCTAAAATCTTTTTGACAATATATGTACTAGAATATATCTCTTAGTTGACTGTTTGTCTATTTCTCATGTATGCATTAAGTTAAATTATGTCCCCTTACATAATCATTTTACCTTTATTGTGCTTTTCATTGTCAGAAAATCAAAACAATTAATGACATTTGCATGGAAAATGAATAAACTATTTAATCTTGCTGATAAACAGTCATAATTACATTCTTTGTAAAAAAAATATCTTGTCAGTGTAAAGAAACCCCTATTACTATGTCTATTTCAGTCAAATATGAGGGCTAAATGAATAAGTAAGGACCCCTTAACCTCTTGCTGGTTCCAAAAAAGCTCATACTGGTGTCATGTTACCACAGAACTACAAATTAAACCTAAAGAAAACTTAGTAAAGCTGTACCTGTGTGGAAAAAAATAAGAAATTATGCAATTTATTTATTTCGGTGAAAATAATAGGATGTACAGGCAAATAAAATATGTCGCGTCTCATATTCCAGTGGTTGCACATGTGTCAGACACTACGAAAAGTTAAAGCGAGCCTTTATAATTAAAAATGTATTGCAAGTTACATAAAAATAATGAAGTTCTACTTTCTAGGTAAATTTTTACTTTATTACCCACAGATCAGGCAAAATTTGCTGAATCAGCAATTTTCACTCCCAGGGGTGGAATTTAAGGGCTGTTTTATCATAGTTGCCCTTAATCAACTTTTTATTGATAAACTTACAAATTGCATAAGTAAAAAAAAATCCTTCATTGATTTAGTGTAAACATGTATATCCCCCTTAAGGTGGCACGGTAGTATTTCCTGGCCCATAAGGGATAATGATAGCCTTGTTAGAATTTTCACCACTTTCTAACACTGCTAAAAATTCTACATTCACAGTTAACTGAAGTACTTTCATTTTACTATTCAGAAATGAATTTGAATATGTATCATGACCGTTTACTTTTTTTGCTATCTTTAAGAACCTAAGGCCACTAGTGCTTTTAGGTCTTTTATCGTGCAGTGAATACAAAATTTAAAAAAATTCTCAAAAATTCATTTTCATCTGTATGTAAAATTATTTCATATTTTTCTACACCTGATTCATCCCTCAGTTTGGGAAAGTATGTTCAGTTGATACTGTATTTTTTGTCCAATCATAATGTTCAGATACATTGACTTAAGTAGGGTACACAAAAGAGCAACCTAAATTCTGGAATGCAAATACTACCGTGCTACCTTCAAGAATGTTAAATCAAAAATTGCAAGAAAAAAAAACCGTAAAATAATTTTTCTATTTGCATTTGAAGTTGCTCGTGAATTAGATACAAATTTCAATAACAAATTATCATCCGATTTCACACATATATTCCATCAACATTCATTGTAAGAACTACGCAAAAGGCAAAAGGCCTATACATTAGAAACAAAATCAAGAAAAATCATTGGAAGATCATGTCCGCATATTTTCTATTAGACAGGAGAGCAAAAACTCCAAAAAAAGACAAATAGTAGGTTATAAAATTGTTGGAACAGAAGACAGCAGGCGGCCGTTTGGTAGGTTTAATAATAAGTATAAAATCGTAATTAAACTCTCGATTACAATCGGAATAAAAAAATCATTCACCATATATAAAATTACTTAAGTATAAGCTATCATATGACATTACAAATTGCAAAATCTGAATAATCATTTTAACACAAATCATCACGTATGTGACATATATACAGAAAACTACAGTCTATATGCACTATCTAATAATGAGTTTCAAAAATATTCCGACTAATGACCAGTCTGAAAGACAAATTACGCTCCATTGTCAGACCACATAATTGTAAACTCTTGAAAAACATAATTAGATCAGAATTAGGGTCGAATATCTTCTAATCTGATACACGAAAACTTAAATCTGTAAAACGATTGTATACTTTAAAGAGTCATAGCTTTTATATTTATCATTTTGTTTATTAACTCACATATTTCAGACTGTGCAGACTTGAATAAAAGAGAAGAAAATAATATCTGTTACGTAAGAACAATATTTTTTTATGTTTGATTTTGGACAGTACTCTGACAATACGTGCCCTAACGGGATAATTGGCTATTAAAAAATACGGAATCGTCAGTCTCTGCTATCATAGTAATGATATTTTTATACAACAATAACAAATACTTCTTTTGATAAGATAGGCAAGAGATAACAAAGGGCCATCAAAATTCACAAGTCGAAAGTAAACTGAAAACGCTAGGCCAAAAATGAGAAAGACCAACAGTACATAACACACAAGGTGAACATAGAAAACTGATGATTGAGTAACACGAACCCCACCAAAAACTTGTCTTATTCGGAAGGTAACATTCGGAGAAATAGAGACGGGATTGTAGTAACGACATTTCGAACATATCTGCTATCATCTGTGGAACGGATATTCCATAATGATCAACTAACACATGATGGCGTCCGTAAAATTTACGGAGGGATTATTTTAACTTCACCACTTGGAACTCTTGGTTTGATAGCTTCTTTGTGACAAACAATCCTTTATCAAGGAAATTATCAAAAGAAATACCAGCCCTGGAATATCGTACCTCAAATCCCGTATGCAAGCGCTGATGGAATATTGCTAAAGAGAAATGGAGAGATCACAATTTGGAAGCTGAAATCATCTCTTTTGTCGAAAAGTTTTGTGTTAAACCGATCCAAATTGTACGAGGCAGACTTAACTGTATCTGTTGTATCCTTAACAAGTTCCGATGGGAAAGATGCATTTCATATAGTCATCAAATTTTGAACTATTTAGTGAGAGACTATCATCTATATAATCTGTTTAACTGTGTAACTGTACTTACCTGTGCTTACCTATATCAACGTTATTGCTCAGTCGTTCCCTAATACTCATATCACGTCTGAAGACTAAGACGTCTAATGTAAAGCAAAACTTACCATTCTTTCATCCAGAACATAATATCCGGTTTAAGCCTATAGATATTGCCAAATATTATGTAACCAGAAGCTATGCTCTTTGTCATATCTGCACACTAGTATACATTTTTGGTTACACATTTTGTGTCCGCAACTCCTTTCTAACCCCTTATTTAAATTTATCAAAACATTCTCAAAATATTTACCACATGAAGTTGTTTTGCACATATTTAAACACCATTTGATCCGAATCATTTTTGGGGTTGATTCATGGAAATGATGTTCACATCACAGTACGGATATTTTTCTCCCCAAAATCAACTGAAATTTCCTTGAATATTCACTCTATTATGCCAAAGGGAACTCATAATTTGTTTTAAGCTTATTTGTTTTAATTCTGTATTGGCCGGACCAGACAGTATGACCAAACTTTTGACAATCTCAATTTCGGCAAATATATTAACCATACAACTTGTTTTAAAAATTGTAATTATAAAATTCCACCAGCATGATCACAGTAGTCGCTGTACTACTAAACTGCAATAAAATAAGTCAAATTATTACAATGTATATCAATAGAACATATTAAATTTAAAATGCAAATATAACACATGTATAAATCAATTAACAATAAACGAAAATAGAATTTATGGTTTAAATCTTAGCTATAAATAACTAACAGTTCGTACGCATTTAATAAATAACTTATACAAAGGAACAGAGCTGAACAGATGCAATTATAACAGTTCAAATATGTCATTCATATAACATGTTTAAAACAACTGACAGAATAGACAGAAGATAAAGGCAGTCAGGTCGTACAATTTAAGCGGTGTTGTAAGAAATCGGTCCATTCTGATTTGTTCCGAAAAGTTTATGAATACATATAAAAAACATTAAATGTAAAACAGAATAAATTCCTCAACCAAAGCATAGTTTAAGTTTTACTCACAATACCTATAGTTTCTATCAGTTTTCTACAAAGCAAAGTTTGCAACTGTGTACAAGCTTTTTACTTTCAAACTTGAAGTATGTAGTTATATCCGTTGACAGATCTACTTACGACTTCAAAACAGATTGCTTCTGTTAAGTTTTATTCTCTTGTCCAGGAAGTTTCATATTGACCTTCATCTCATCTTAATTAATAAAAATATCTAAAATACTGAATGGATTTATATGCAACAAATGCTTTCAGATTGGCACACATGAATAAAATTACGACAAAATGAACAAATAAGAGGCAGCTATGCAAGAGAGTGATAATAGAAACGATTATGTTTAACATTTTTTTCAGGATTCATCAACTCTTAATTACGTTGAAGTTATCTTTGACCCTGTTGAAGCTAAAAGTAAATTTCACATTCATGGAGCTGAAAACAGGACACCGTATGCTGACATAGACTTGTCTTTAACAGCAGATCCATTGATTTCTTCTGATGAAGAGTCTTTATCTGTTCGTGAAGACAATAACGACTTTGTGTCTCTGGAGGATGTGCAGCAGTGGGATATTCATGAGAGTTGAATTTTATGTTAATTTAGGTGTCCCATTTATCTATTTTAACTCAAATTGGAGCATAATGAATGTATTAACAAACTTGATTATTTGTTGTTAATATAATCCAAAAATACAAAAGTATAATTTAATATTAACATGATTATCATATTGAAAGATTGGGGAAGTACCTCATGTATTGTTCGTATTGGTATGGTAGCTGGGGTCTCTATGGTAGACATCTTCGGACTTAATTTGTATATTGACATTTCAGGATAATTATACTGGTATATTGTGTTTTGAATAGATGATTATGTCTTAACTAAAATTTGAAAAATCATTAATTTTCATAGTTTATTTCTGTTAGTTCCTATATTTAAATTCATTCCTAATACAAACATGACAAAAGAGTATCAACATCATATATAATTACCTTCATTTGCACTATTACATGTCAGTTTTGAGTGCACTTTTGACTCTAAGTTTTAATTTTTTGTAAATTGATTCTTACTTAATGTTTTTAATAAAACACTTGATATATTTGTTTTCCACCTATGTCACTATTTTGTCATACAAGTCTATACCTTAATTTTAAACTGTCGGCAATGAGTGAATGAATTAACTGAAGACATCGTTTTCGGGAAGGCTCAGTTACATTTAAATCTTGTCAAAAATTATAAAACGAAACTCGCAAAGGATAACAAATTGAATGATTTCCGCAAAGAAAATATTTCATTTTTGTTCTGATCGCCGGGTGAAAAATTTGGCCACTTAGGCAATTCACGGTTCTGCTAGATCCTATTTTCAAACTTATTCCCTGATGAACCAACGTACGGACCCTTTTTTTTTGTCGCCGCAGTTGCTGGGAATTAATAGGTTTATTTGTTTATTCCTGTCTTTGGTCATAAACCAAATCATCTGAACGAATTAACAAAATATTTGTATTAAACATAATATTAATGAATTCATTCTGTATTATATGTAATATATTTTCAAAAATAAAAAAAAAAATATCACAGGAAGTGCCTATATATTTGCAGTAGCAACACATAAACAAACTATCCGTAAAGAGCTCTAAATATGACGATGTGGTTTGATTACCAACCAGAAAACTATTCACAAGAGACTAAATGGAAGTAAGCAAAAATGTGTCAACAAACGGCATGGACAATGAGGAAAATCGATACAGTTTAGTAAACAGCATCTTAAAAGGGTCCAGAAAAAGTAACAAGCGAAACAAGAAAACCAATACATATAGCATTAGCTAAGTTAAACGTAGTCTTTTGCAAAAAACAACAGATATAGGGAAATGGGGAGAGGACAGTAAAAATTACCAAATCCAAAAAAGAAAAAAAGACATCTGATGAACATGATGATTGCCAGAACGCTACGTTTAAAATCGTTCTATTTTACTTTTTCATACTTTGATTCATTAATTGAAAGTATATTTGTTTTGACATTATGGGCTTGATATTGGGCAAATGAATCACCCTTTCAACGGCTTGTCACGCTTGTCTTCCCTTTTATTTTTGGTTATTACATGCCTGTTTAAAAGTTTTACCGTTTTCGATGAGGAGCTAAGTTTGCTTCATTTCTTAATCATGCATTACTGGAAATGTGAAGATATGATTGAAGCTTTAAAATTTCTCCTGGGCAACATATATGTACGTTCCGGCAATAAAGTGTATCGACAAGCAGTAGGTATTCCTATGGGTACTAAATGTGCACCTTTAATAACAACTTTATTCCTGTATTGTTATGAATCTCAGTTTATGACTTAACTCAGTACAGACACGTCATTGTTACATTTAGTTGATACATTCAACAATACCTACCTATTTTGATGATTTTTTTTCGTTAAATAATCCAGAGTTCTCTAAATTTACTACCGACAATTACCAAAAAAACTTACTTTAGATAAATCTAACATAATATAAACAGCAGTAGTTGTCCTTTTCCATATTAAAATTTACGAGAAAAGAGACGATTCACATTCCATATTGTTAATTTTCCTTTATAAGACAGCGATGTTTCTTTTACATATAATGGTTTACTTTTACAAATTGTGACTTGGATGGATAGTTGTCACATTGGCACGCATACCACATCTTCTTATATTTATTATCTTTTATTTAAAAATTTCATGTTCACTGACTTAAACATCATCTTTATTTTGTGTTGCTAAAAAATAAAGTGCACTCGATTCGGTTATGTTCCAGGCGCAGGATAATTAAGCATGGACATTTATGTGTACTACACCCATAGTGCCACGTATCTCATTAGAACAAATCCAACACATATTGAACGATATTTAACTCAGGGATAGTACGACATAGTATTTTAGTATGTCCTCAGATACGTATATGTCAACGCACTCGACACGATTGGATACGTTTTTAGAATTGACCGACCTTTTTAATAAGCAACAACAAATTATTTATCAATAAACTAAAACACTGCGTAACACAAATCTCTCTCAACAAAATCTTATTTGTTTAAGAAAAACATACAGTACTTCTTGAGTTTTGCAACTGTGATTGAAAAACCATGGTGAATTCCAAAACATTACTTTCAAAATGGAATGAAGGTTGGGTTACTTATACAAAAAAATGGTATAACCTTGATTATCTTTATATACATGTAGTAAGAATATTTCTTATATTTAGATCAAACGTCCGGAAACGGGTTTATATAAGGATTTTGCATCGGTTTTTTTTTTTATTTCTGACTGTGAGAACTCGGCACTTGTGTAAAATACACATGAATTTTGTTATACCTCTACTGGTATCAAACACATTGTAGTATTTAACTCAACACAATGAGTGAGTACCAAGGAGTACAATTTTTATGTCGCTTAAATTGTTATACATTTGTCATTTCGGGGCCTTTTATAGATGACTCTGTGGCATGGGTTTTAACTTGTTCAACGTTGAATAATTTGGAGAAAATGCAAGTACTCTTAGACATAATAATATTTATTTAAAAGGCAACTGTAGCTTAAAAAATGCATAAATATAATATTCTTATGATGTTTAGTTAATGATTCATTCCAAAATCAATTTGACTAACAGAGAGTGAAAAATAATGACATGTGAGAAGGTAAGCATACATCTAGCGACCAGTTAACTTACCAAAACGTGTTAGCTCACTGTGCAAAATAACTGTTGACTGTATACATCACAAAGAAAACTACGAAAGCTTTTTCGTGCCACACAAAAATATATTTACATCTAAATTCTAACATTTTAATTTTTATCTTAAAATCAAATACTAAATTAAATTTACATATTATAAGTATCATTTTACGTGAAAAGTAATGTTTTGTGAACATAGGCAATTTCAGGTCTGTCTGTCAGTAAAATTGGGGTTTGTTATTGGTAAGAGAACGACTTTGAACATGAGGCTAAGTCATTATCATAAAGATACATAGGAATAAGAGAATACTTGTGTCGCAATTATACACATGTTGAGACTGATCTTTGAATCAAAAAATTATATGAATTTTACATGAAAATATATATAATATGAACAATTTCGGTGGAAAGGATGTGATTTTGAAAGTTTTGACTTATGGAAAATTGAAACGTACAGTTGTGAAAACTGTCATAGAAAACTGTGCAGATATGAAACGATATGTTTCACATCTGTGATAACATTAGCGCTAAGTTCTTGCATGACTCTGCACATGTGTTTTTATCTGAAAATTATTAAAATATTTTTGTTTCATTTACTTGCCAAAAACAATATTTATTAAGGAATTATTTAATAGAATATATATAAAGTTTGCGTTATCTCGTAAATCTTTGCGTTTTATTGCAACAACAAAAATTGTGGGGCTTATTCTTTTTTGTAGAAAACTGACAAATTAAGAATGGAAATGAGGTTGAGGCAATATGACACATATAAATTCCTCTCACATATTCTCCGTATCTAACATTATATGATTTCATGAGAAAGTTACCTTATCCAAACTTTTGCGATCACTTGTGTAAAGCTTAAGGTGGCACGGTAGTATTTCCTGGCCCATAAGGGATAATGATAGCCTTTTTAGAATTTTCACCACTTTCTAACACTGCTAAAAATTCTACATTCACAGTTAACTGAAATACTTTCATTTACTATTCAGAAATGAATTTGAATATGTATCATGACCGTTAACTTTTTTTACTATCTTTAAGAACCTAAGGCCACTAGTGCTTTTAGGTCTTTTATCGTGCAGTGAATACAAAATTTAAAAAAATTCTCAAAAATTCATTTTCATCTGTATGTAAAATTATTTCATATTTTTCTACACCTGATTCATCCCTCAGTTTGGGAAAGTATGTTCAGTTGATACTGTATTTTTTGTCCAATCATAATGTTCAGATACATTGACTTAAGTAGGGTGAACAAAAGAGCAACCTAAATTCTGGAATGCAAATACTACCGCGCTACCTTAACCAAGACATTTCAATCTTGAAATCAGTCATGACACCTATGATGCATAGCCTTCTTACTATGTAACATATTACAATAAAGAATACTAGTCTGAACTTATTTCTTACCCAAAAAAAATTGAAGGATTGCACCCCTACCCCAGCTGGCAGATTTTCATTTTTTTATCATCTTACCATTTTTACTTAAGGAGTGAACACAATCCAAATATATGATGTTTCAAATCAACACAGAAGTCAAACATGGTGATTCTGGAGGAATTATTGGATTGCCAACTCTATTTATAGTTAATCTGACTGAAAGAAACAGTTTAAGCACCAAATCATGAAAAATGATATTAAAGTCCTTTCCACATTTTACAGCATGCCTTACATTACTTTAAGCATTTCCAGATTATGAAGGCAACACAACAAGATTCTTAAGATGGCAGTTAACTATCGTTCTAAAATCTTTTTGACAATATATGTACTAGAATATATCTCTTAGTTGACTGTTTGTCTATTTCTCATGTATGCATTAAGTTAAATTATGTCCCCTTACATAATCATTTTACCTTTATTGTGCTTTTCATTGTCAGAAAATCAAAACAATTAATGACATTTGCATGGAAAATGAATAAACTATTTAATCTTGCTGATAAACAGTCATAATTACATTCTTTGTAAAAAAAATATCTTGTCAGTGTAAAGAAACCCCTATTACTATGTCTATTTCAGTCAAATATGAGGGCTAAATGAATAAGTAAGGACCCCTTAACCTCTTGCTGGTTCCAAAAAAGCTCATACTGGTGTCATGTTACCACAGAACTACAAATTAAACCTAAAGAAAACTTAGTAAAGCTGTACCTGTGTGGAAAAAAATAAGAAATTATGCAATTTATTTATTTCGGTGAAAATAATAGGATGTACAGGCAAATAAAATATGTCGCGTCTCATATTCCAGTGGTTGCACATGTGTCAGACACTACGAAAAGTTAAAGCGAGCCTTTATAATTAAAAATGTATTGCAAGTTACATAAAAATAATGAAGTTCTACTTTCTAGGTAAATTTTTACTTTATTACCCACAGATCAGGCAAAATTTGCTGAATCAGCAATTTTCACTCCCAGGGGTGGAATTTAA